CATGTTTACCTATTCTTTCTTATTCCTTGCATACCTGTAGGTATGCACAAGAAAGAAAAGAACTTGGAGAATGTCTGTGAGCTGAGAGTCAAGAAAAGAATGTTCACACCTCTGAAGGTGAAATAAAGATAGATGGCTTTGTCATTTTTGCATGAGAAAATATTTGTTTGAATTAAAGGAGGCCCATGTGTATGACATTTATCTGCTGATATAAATTTAAAAATATGAAACGTAACAGACCGTAATCTTTACTCTCTGTTTTTAAACAGTGACACGTGTACGTTCACCAATGAACACTGTCTCACCTCAGACACTACAGCGTAGATGTAGAGAAACATTTCAGGCTGCTATGAAGATTCATGGAGGAACAAAATCTAACAAAAGACCTGCACTTGATGGTCTCTACCACACTGTTTCTAAAAAATGCAAAACTAGTGTGCTTAGTGATTATATAACTATATAATAGTATGTTAAGAATTCTACCGCGTCAAGGAAACAAAGGAACACAGCGTGTTAAAAAAACAAAGAATTGTAGCGTGTTATAAAAACAAAGCTCTACCATGTTAACCAGATATGAACAATGGCTATGAACACGCTTCCCAGTATTAATTGTTTTTATGCACATATCCGCACCATAAGCGTGTCATGCCATTAGCGTGCGAGCGTGTTATAACGGGCCTTGTGCGTGCGTTCACCTTATTCCTTGAAATTCCGTGGAGGGTCACATATTATCTAACAGTAAGGTTACAAATTTTGTCATTAAGCAATGTAAGTAAAAGCAGTTGGAAGAATTTGAATGTTCAAAAGATAATATATTGTGAAGTATAGCTACTTACTATACTTCTGCGGTAATGGGGAAAAGGGGATATCAAGCTGTGAGGCAGGCATCCTCAATGAAGTCTAGTAATTTAAAGAGGGGAGGGGGTAAAACAGCAATTAATTTTATGCCAAACTGTCCCATACCAAAATTCATCACTTATAATTCTCCTGTAAGTGAAATTAAAAAGATTGACATAGGAAAGGTTTATTATATTGAGGAAGAATTCTCTACTGACATAGATGATGAAAATATTAATTGGTGCTTCAGAGATTTACGTGAGTATTTACCACCGCTATCAAAATGTTACGTAAATATGCAGGGGAAACGCAAAGGTGCATTGAAATGGTTTGGGGAAACACAGGGTAGGTTTCTTGTTGCATTTGGGGGGGATGGATATCCTTTTGGTAAAAATGAGTCTGCTTGTTCATTCCTTATTAGTTTTCTGAATGTAGGAAAGAGAGTGGCATCCAGCAGTGACAATTTTTTTAGTCTTCGGTGCTAATGTAAAGGAGACGTCTCTTTTTGTAAAAGAAGTACTTAAATTCTGTATGCAAACAAATTGTAGATTTAGATGGACGTATATTTGAAATTAATGGTTTACAAGTGTCATTTCCTTGTGAGGAGCTTCCCAGTGACATGAAAATGCTTGCAATGCTTGGTCGGGAACTAAGCAATTCTACTAAATTCTTTTCGTCATTTGCAAATGCAAGTACAAATGACTGTACTGACTTAAGCAGCACATTTGGGTCCAGTCCTTCATGTAAATGGAAACCCTGGGAGTATTCAAGTAGAATGAAGGTTGTTGAAAAAGTAGATTCTTTGAAGTACTCACTGGATGGGAAACCTTTGTCCAGAAAACAGAAGAGAACTACCGCAACAGAATTTATAGCTTGTCAAAGTTAATTGACAAAGCTCATGTAGAGCCACTTCATCTCAAAAATAATGCTTAGGGGGTATTTTTTCAAAGTATTGTTAAAGGAGGCAGTGACCAAATCCAACATACCAGCAACCTGCAAAACATTTGCAGAGGTCCCACAGGATACCTGTCTAGGGAGAGTGGTCACTGCTCTCAAATGTGAAGTGAAGGCTGGTGGCTTGGCCAAAAAGGTTCGAAAATGGTTTGACGAAACACAGGGTAAGTTGGGGGATTTACAGTATGGTTTTACAGGCAAAGAGTCACGGTTGTTTTCTCACAACTTTGCAAGGTTGTTGAAATTTTTGAGGCAGGAAGGAGACAGTCAAAAACAACAGCAGACTGTGCTCACCCTTGCTTATGTTGGGTTAAGACTGAGAGATTTGTGCTCAATCATCAATCGATTTGAAGTGGAAGATACTCATTTTGAGCAACTTCTGACCTTAGCACAAGAGTACTATCGTGCCAATGCACTACTGTTACCCACCTCAGTAAATCCCACCATCTGGACCATTAGTCATGTTGTGCCTGCACATGCCAGGCAAGTCTATGATAAATACGGTCAAGGTCTTTTAACAGTAACAATGGATGGTAGAGAAGCTAAGCATATAGCTTTGCAAAAGTTGAGTGCAAACACCACCTACCAGAATCGATGGGATGAAATTCTATCACATGACCAGAAGGCAGAGATCCCATGAGATAGCACAGCACTTGCGCAAGTCATTGCACGATTCGTGCTTAACGCGTAAAGTTCGTTCTTCGGATAACACCAGAATTTCTTTGGTTTTCTTACACGTATAGCTGGAGAGGCTAACATAGTTGGTCTTAGTTACACCCAGCTCAGGCGCTAACGTAGTTAGGGGCCAGTAATTAAGCGACCACGGCTCAAAATATGCCACAAACCCCGGACAACGTTGGGGTGAATATCACTGCCAAACAGGGTCAATTGTCAGAGAAGGCCTCCGCGAATAAAGAACTTGTGAACCTGTTTACAGCTGCTATGGCACCGTTCGTGGGTCAGATGACGAAACTTAATGAAAACGTCAGTCTGCTGTTGAGCGGTCGCGATCCAGAGTCGGAGCAGGACGGTGAAACCGCCTCTGCCGCAGCAGTCGAAGACTCTGATCATGAAGGAGTGGATAGCCTGTCTATCTGCCATCCTGGACTCTAAGACCACAGACAAAGCAGCGCCTAGGACAGGCGACGCTTTTTTACAAGAGCTCGCTCAAGATCTCTCGGTCAGAGAGCAAACCTCCCCGCAAATTCATGAAGGTCTGGCGGGCATTTTTGACAGGTTTTTGTCACAAAAGACAAATATACACGGCCCGAAAACATCACAGCTTGAGAATGCCGAAGGTTAACCCACTAATTTAGAGCGAGCTGTCCGCCACAATGAAAGCACAAGATGCTAGATCTCAGAAAGGGCAAAACCCTCACATCAGCTCCGTAATAGCCATGACCAAGGCTACCAATTTGGTTCTTGCAAAGTACAGCCAGGATAGAGATCTGATTTTCAATTCAACCACGAAGTTAACCACTCGCGGCGTGTGGCAGTGAAGAAGGAATTGCATGAAGATTATGCCGCACTCTGCAACTCGTCCACTGTTGAAGGCTCCAGAATTGTTGTTTGGCGACCTCTCCAAACTTGCTAAGGACATTTCCGAAGCCAACAAGTTAACTAAGAAGGTTCGCCCGTCGCATTCCACGAATTCCCGTGGTGACAAGTACGGGGGATGCTCAAGTTATGGTTTGAGCCAGGGAAACAGAGGATTTCACCCCTACTCAAAAGGGAAGCCCTATGATTTTTTAGGCAAAAGCCGCTTCTCCAAACAAAGAAAGAAAAAGGACGGAGAGACGAGTCAGCGGCAATGAAAATGCCAGAGGTATGTGATGAAAACTTGACTCTCCCTAAAGGCCTCGAGCCTAGTATGCTAAGTACACTCAAATTACAACTAAATTTCAACCAGGATAGCTTTGAAATTTCTTACCTCAATGGAAAACTGTAACAACCGATCCCACAATACTTCAATTTGTTTCCGGGGTCAAAATAGAATTTCAAAACAATTCTCTGCCCACGCAACAACATAAGAGACCCAAACAGCATGCTATTGTTAAAGTGGAAATCGATAAACTGCTCGCTAAAGGTGTTGTTATACTGGCGGCACAGGTAACGGGGGAGTTTATCTCTACCATATTCCTTAGACCGAAAAAGGATGGCACGCACTGCACCATTCTCAATCTCAAAGAGTTAAACGAATTTGTAACTTTTAAGATGGATACCCTGGAGGCGGCCATCAGAATGATGAAACCAGGATGCTTTATGGCATCAGTTGATCGCAAGGATGCTTATTACACCGTCCCCATTCACCCCTCTCACCAGAAATATCTCAAGTTTTGTTTCGACGGTGCTTTCTATCAATACACTTGCCTACCTAACGGCCTTGCCAGTGCGCCTCGTATTTTCACAAAATTACTCAAACCTGTCTATGCTACACTTCACAGCATGGGTCACTTAAATTTGGGCTACATTGATGATTCTTATCTCCAAGGGGATACTGTTGAGGACTGTCAACAAAACGTTGGAGATACGGTCACGTTATTTACCAGACTAGGGTTTTTCATCCATCCAGAAAAATCGGTTTTCGTTCCTACCCAGCAGTTGACATTCTTAGGGTTTGTTCTGGATTCGATAAGGATGATAGTTACGCCTACCGAAGCAAAAATCCAGAAAATCAAATCTGGTTGCGACACTCTCCTGAAGATCCCCAAGCCCACTATAAAACAAGTCACAGAGGTTATCGGCATTTTGGTGTCAAATTTCCCCAGAGCTCAATACGGGCCACTTCACTATAGAAACGTGGAACATGACAAATATCTCGCCCTCATGTTCAACAAAGGAAATTATGAGGGGAAAATACAGCTATCCCCCATGGCGCTACAAGAAATCTGATGGTGGCTAAATAATGCTATTACCTTACACAGAGACATTCAACATCCCCTCCCCAGCGTGACAATTCAATCAGACGCGTCCAAATTGGGGTGGGGAGCGGTTTTTGGGGCACAAAAAACAGGGGGAAGCTGGACCCCTTTGGAAACCGAATCTCACATCAACGAATTGGAATAGCCCTATTGACAGTTCCCGGCGCCACATTGGATTAGTAACCGCGCAAACACGATAGCGAGGCTGCCGGTGACCCGATTCGGCATCGCATAGAAGTTTAGATGGTGCTCTCAAGCGTTTCGTTAGTTTGTCGAGTCTTTAGTGAA